CGCAGCACTCTACCCAGGGGAATAGCTTGAGGCTCTGTCTCAAAAAAATAAAATAAAATAAAATGTCGCTTAATGTTGAGTCCATATCCACCAGGATCTCCAGTATGCGCCCCAAGCGTGTGCCCCAGGACCCAATGAATCCCTTTATGGGAGCAGCGACCTCTCTGCAGCCCCATCGTCACGGGAAAGACCTGGGCTCGCGGCTCCGCTGCCGTGCAGGGCGCAGCACAGGCGCTAGCCTAAAACCGCCCGGAGCCCAGCTGGCAGACGCCGCCCTCGGGGTAGAACTATAACTCCCGGCGTGCTTCGCCCGATCTTAGGGCTTCTATACAATTTATCGCACCCAGTCTCTGCAGCACGGTCCTCAGTGACTCCGCCCCCACGGGGGCTCTCTTGTGTCCTTGCGTAGCTCGGGGCGTGGCTACACCCCCAAACACCGGAACTATCCGTTTGACGTCACGAAAACTTACGCGTCACGCGAGCGGTAGGAGTTGGCGGACGGTCCCTGGCTGCTTCTGGAAGTCCTGGGACCGCGGAAGAGGCTTCCGAGGGCTGCCGCGATGCCTCGGACGCGGTGGGTCAGTCAGCTTCTGGATCTGTGAGTACACCCTGTCCCGTCTTCCCTTTGCGCCGCCCGGGCACCCACTCCAAAAGGCCTGGGCCCGCGCTGCTCTTCTCCCCGCCCCTTTCCCATCTCCTGACCAGTGAGGAGGCCCGAATTGTGTCTCCATCCCTGGGTCGCCTGTACGCTGAGGACAGTTGTGCAGAGTGGGCTACTGGACGGCCTTGCCCCTCCGTCCTCTGCCCTGGGCAATCCCCGGCGATCGTCCCAGTTCTTAAGTCAGCCTGGACAGCTGGGCACCCCGGTGCCCTGTCTGTGACAGTAGCTCAAAAGCCGTAGTAGAACCAAACAAAACACTAGGTGGGGCTCTCAGTAAAATTCCACCCAGTTACGGTACGTGGGATAAATACTGAGTCTTTGAGGTGACAGGGGTTAAGAACGCGGATCCCTTATTGAAATTGCTGGGTTCAGCTGCAGTCTCTGCCATTTACCAGTCACGTGACCACGGACGGGTAACAACCTCTCCCAAATGTCTGAGTCCTTATCTCTAAAATTAGTGTAAGATATCTCATGGAGCTGTCTTGAGGGATAAATTTAACACAGATTTTAGAAAGAGCCTAGCAAATAATAAACTTCACTATATGTTAATATTTCACGCTAGAAATTATGCTGGAAAATGTAGTTACAAGGGCAATTATATCTCTCCAGGAGCTTTCAGTCCACTAATATTGCCCTGTGAAAAACATACATCACAAAGCCAAGGAGAACAATCTCCTCAATCTATTGAAGGCTTTCTAAAACAATGGAATTTGGTGTTTTACATTGTATCTCATGAAATCCTGGCCCAAAGTCCACACTTTTCATAACAGAGGAATCAGTTGGTTCCCCCTTATGTAGGCTCAGACTTGTGTAGAGTTTTGAGAAAAAAAGATCTTGCTTTGGTTTTTGGTACAAATTTTATACCTGATCCAAATGGGAGTTTATTTCCATCATTAATGGCAGTTTAGAGTAATAACCGAGACTACAAGTTAGAAAGACAAACTACCTGGGTTCTATGCATACATCTAACATCTACTAGTTATACAATCTTGAGCAAATAATATAACTGTCTAGGTTCTAGTTTTCTCATCTATCAGTAGCAGACAATAATAATATAACTTACTCTACCGAACTATTGAGACGATTAAAAGCCAGTATATGTAAAGCCCATGAAATAGTGGTTGGCCATAGATAAATATTTATTTGTGTTAGTTATTGATATTATTTTCTGCCTACTATGAAAGTAGCCAGTACAAGGGCTATTACCTTAGTCCTGACCCTTCTTCTGAGGTTCAGTTTAATTCTACGCTCTTAATTCCTATCTTTCCTAAAGCCTCCCTGATGGTTCCATACAAATGATTGTCTATATTCCTGTGGCAGGAATCAAGTCCTTTCTCTGTCTGTACTGACAGTTCCTAATTTTTAGGAGTTGCTCAGTATTCAGTTAAACATGTTTTTAAAGAGCAGGTAAAAGGCTCAGCACCTATAGCTCAAGCGGCTAAGGCTCCAGCCACATACACTAGGTTCGAATCCAGCCCAGGTCTGCCAAACAGCAATGACAACTACAATCAAAAAATGGCCAGGCGTTGTGGTGGGTGCCTGTAGTCTCAGCTACCTGGGAGGCCAAGGCAAGAGAATCACTTAAGCCCAGGAGTTGGAGGTTGCTGTGACACCACGGTACTCTACCCAGGGTAACAGCTTGAGGCTCTGTCTCTAAATAAATAAATAAAATAAAGAGCAGGTAGGGCATGTAATATGAAACACTATTCTGAAGACTGGGAAACAGCTAGCATCAAGGTGGTGTAGTCATAGGGTACTAGTGCAAAATGAGAATGTAAATAACTATAATGTGGGTAGACTACTACCACAAAAACAAACAAAGTGTTTTGAATTTTCTGATGAGGAAAAGAACATATGAGAGTAAGAGAAAGCTTTGTAAAGGGATTGTGGGCAGTGCCTGTGGCTCAGTGAGTAGGGCGCCTGCCCCATATACGGAGGATTATAGGTTCAAACTGGGCCCTGGCCAAACTGCAACAAAAAATAGCCGGGCATTGTGGTGGGTACCTATACTCCCAGCTAGTAGGGAGGCTGAGGCAAGAGAATCGCCTAAGCCCAAGAGCTGGAGGTTGCTGTGAGCTATGACACCACAGCACTCTACCGAGGGCAACAAAGTGAGACTATCCCTAAAAATAAATAAATCAATAGATTGCATTTGAAGATTGGTAACATCTAACACTTGCAAATGGGAGGAAGTACATCCAAGGGAGAGTAAAATAGTGAAAGTAAAGACTTGACAGACAGGAAAGTTAAAAATAGGTGAGAAGACCAGAAAGTAGTCTTCCAATTTGAATGAAAAATACAGTATGAACAGTGGAGTAGTGAGACATAAAGTTAGGTAATTACGAGTAGAGTCTTAGGGACCAGGGTGAATAAGATATTTAAATTTTGCTGTGGCTCACGCTATAATCCTAGCACTCTGGAAGGCTGAGTCAGGTGGATTGTTGGAGCCCAGGAGTTTGGAACCAGCCTGGGCAAGAGTGAGACCTCATCTCTCCTAAAAATTGAAAAACTGAGGCAAGAGGATCACTTGAGCCCAGGAGTTTGAGGTTGCTATGAGCTATGATGATGCTATGGCATTCTACCCAGGGCAACAGAGTGAGACTCTGTTGCAAAACAAAACTTTACTGGGAGCAAAGAGAGATTTGCATTAGGAGGAGGCTGGGAATAGACACTTAGGAAACTATTACAGAATAGGTAATATTCCAAGAGGTAAGGAGAGCTGGGTCTAGCAGACATATCCCATGGCACCTCTACCACTCTAGGAGGTAAAGAGAGCCCAGACTAGGAGACATATTGAAGTGGGAGAGGTGCTATGAAATATGCAAGATATAATAAATAAAGGGTAGATATATACAGATTTACATGGTTGAAACTTAAAAATAGTACATAGTGAGAAAAGAGGAAAAAGAATAACACATGTTGAGAAAAATTATCCAAAACTTAGGGGTAGGGCAAAAGGATGACTACATGACCTTCAGCGTCATAGTAGGGTGCTATCCCTAGGTAAGGGTCTATTTTTGCCTTTAGGACCATATTTTGTACCCTTTTGGCACAAGGTATATGGTCTGAGACTGGTAGTCAGCATTCTATTTCTAGTTTGTAAGAAAGTTGAGCCAGAATAGTGATCAACTAAGCACACTGGTTAGTCCAGCTGATGGGACTTTCTCCATGAAGGAAATAGTGTTTGTCTACATTATTGCACAAACTACTTATTTCCTCACTGATCAGCACTTTGATGCCTTAAAAATCAAAGGATTTGGGGTATGATCAATGGACTTGGATAAAAAGTCCAAGGAGATAGAAGAATTAGAAATTTCTCTAAAGTTTTCTGTTTTGTTGACCAAGAGAATGGTGGTTGACAGGGAAGAGGAAGGGTTCTTTGGGGAAAATGAATCAGAATATCTAGCAGAAATATCAAGCAGGCTGTTTGAATATAATTTTGAATCTGAAAGACATCAGGGATGGAGACTAAGACTAAGGGGAATTCTTTATAAATGATAGGTGAAGCCATGGTTAAGTTAAAGGAGAGGACATAGAAAAAAAAGGCCAAGACAAAATTTTATGCAACACTTAGGTTAGAAGCAGGCATTTTACCCAAAAGAATTTCCTTGTTGGCTCAATTCACCATATAATCAAAAGGCCAAATGCTTTTTTTTTTTTTGAGACAAAGTCTCACTCTATGACTCCTGAGTAGAGTGCTGTGGCATCACAGCTCTCAGCAGCTTCGAACTGTAGGACTCAAGTGATCCTCTTG